TCCGGGGGTATCGCTTGCGGACGGTCCCGCGAGTGCAGCTCACAGCTCACACAGCCACACGCTCATCGCATGTCAGCCCGCGAGGGGGGCGTCGCCTCACCGGCCGCGGCCGCCTCCAGCGACTAATACGCACCGGGTAGCTCATGGCGGCGGCGTTGGTGTCAAAGACGCTGACGTCGATCCCACGCCCACATCGAGCCTCGTTGCGGCTATTATCCAATCATGGCGATGACGACGCGCGGCGAGCGGGAGCGGCGGGAACGACTCGCAGCACCATAAAGCACTTTGCAAAAAGTAAATAAGAAATCAACTTATTGCCGGCACTTGCACACTCGAACGAGAAGCTGAACACATAAGAAGCTTATGGCCTCTCGGGTACGTTTCCCACAGTCACAAATCAAATCACAATTGTCGTCGACCCTGCTGCACTGAGACGCGACAGGGGCGGGGGCGGTCGGGGTGCGATACGACACAAGTAGGCTATCGGCGACGCGACGAGGTTGCCGCGGCCACCACAGCGGCGCAGCGCCGGCCGGGGACTGAGCGCGGCAGCACGGCGCGCCGCACCGCGGGGCCCGCAGTGTGTTCTTCTCGTGTTATCGCTGCAGCGCCACGCCGCGCCACGCCGCAGCTGGCGATTAAGCCCATGGTTGTCCCGACAGGGGGCAGCACCGCGGCAGCACGTGCCCGTCGTACAGTGCAAGGGGACGGGGTCACGAGCCGGCGGCGCCGCGCTCGCAGCCTCGCCGTCGAGCAGGACGCACGGGATGCACCCCCGGCGCGCGCCACACTGGGGGCGCCCGCAGCAGCGCCGCGCCCCGGGCCACCCCTGCGGTGCCCACCCCACCGCCACAATGCGGGCGCGGCACGTCGTCTGCCCGCCCCGCCGCCGCCTCGCCGTCGTGGACACGTCACGCGCCGCGGCCCGGGCTCGGCTCGCCGCGGCCGCGGCCATTTGGCTCGGCTGGGACAGCCGGGCTGGGCTCGGCTCGCCCCCCGCGAGGACCCCAAGGTCAAGTTGAGTGTCTGCCGGCCTGGCCTGTCCGCGGGCCCGGCTGAGCTAAGAGCCGCAGGCCCCGCCGCCGAGCGCCGCCCCGCCCCCGTCCCCGCCGCGACGTTCCCACAATTTGCATATTGCCGCGCGAACCCCTCCACGACGCTCCGCGCAGCGGAGTGCTTCCTTACGGAAGTCAGCGCATTCCAGCTGCAGCGCTCACGCACTCGCACGCAGCAGCCGGCAGCAGCCCGCCGGCGACGGTGGTGTGCTCTGGGCACGACGTTGACGGAGACCTCAGTGTCCTGACATGGCCCGGAGGAGGGACAGGGACGAGCTCCCGGGTCTGCGAGTAACAGGGTAGTAAGTGGATCCTGGGACGGCAAAGAGCCCCGAGGCGTTCCGGGGTATTGTTGACGAGCCCCTCGCAGTCTCTGTCACGGACGCGTCCGCTAGCTGCCGCTCGAGGTGATGTTGACGAGGTTCTGTCCCGACGAGGTCCTGGACGTCCCCCCGAGGGCGCAGCCCTGTCAGGTCCGGCGGCGCCCCCCGTGCGTTATCGGCCACCTCGCCGTGGGGGGCCTCGGGGCGGAGGGGCCTGCATGCCCCGCGCGGGGCGCACAACGGAAGGTCCGGTCGGGTCCGGCCGGTCCGGCTGCTGCAAGTCTGCAATTACCAAAGTAATCACGGCCATTACGCGCGTCGCCGTCCATACAGTCCCGCGCCCCGCGCCAGCGCGCCAGCCACACACGCACCGCAGAGAAACTCTGCAGCAGCCCGCGCACCAGACGCGCAGTTGTTACATGTATATTATTTCCGACAACTTAGTTTTCTCCGGGCGGCTTGTGCTGTGGGTGCCGCCGGGCCGCGCGCGGCGCTCGGCTGGTTGGCGTTGTTCGGCAGTATTTCAGGACTCTCGAAGGTCGCTGCCGCGCCTCGCCACGCCTCGCCACGGTCGCACTCTGGCACACCGCGAGCAGATCGAGCAGGTGGGGACGGTACCGGCTGGGGCCGCGAGTTGGGAGAAAGGGGGGGGGGAGGAGGTCGCAATTGGATTTTCACCGCCGAGTTTGGCCCTCTCGCGTGCACGAGATAATCTGGCACCCAATCTGAACGCCCCGGCCCTACCTTCTCTCCCGCCCGCCCAGCCCCGCCGCGCCCCGCGTCGGCGCGCAGCTCAGCACTACTCAGTCCGCAGCGATTGAAAAACTAAATGAAGATTAGAACAGGAGGGAAGAGAGGAGGGGGCGCCTCTGTCTGTGATAGGCGAAGCAAGGGAAATCTAACTGTTCACTTCCCTTTTTTTCGCCCTGGACTGACTGCATGGCCGTTTTTTCCTCTCCAGAGTTCCTTCCTCCTGGGGAGCCAGGGAGAGGAGCTTGCCTGCCCCTGCCCCCTGCCTGACTTGCGTAACAGCTTCTTTCTCTGTCCCTGCCTCGCTTTTGTTTTTGCACCCTCCCGTTCTGAGATCGGAATTCGTCGCCCGTTTGTCTCATTTTACTTTCGCTGAGCTGGCCTGGCCCGGCCCCAGCCGCGGCGGCTACCGCATGTGAGGCTCGCCTCGCCATTGTGCCTTACAAGGCGGCGATTGCCTTGTTTATTACATTACTGATCAGATCAGTCCCAATCGATTGGGCCGGGCGCAACTGATATTTCATCCACAGCCGTTAAATTAAAAATAAAATCGCGATAAAAATCGTAACAAAAAAATAAAATACTAACGCTGAATGGAATTGAAAGTGAGAAGCTAAGTCCCCCGCTGGCGGCGTGTGTCGCCACGTTCTTCTAGCCGCATCACTCCACCGGGCCGCGGGGCACGCGCTCCAATCACCTGCAGCCTCTTGCAGCAGGGATTGCACCCACCGGCGTACGTGTGTGAGTGTGTGTGTGTCTGTGTCCGTGAGGCTGTGTTTACGTGTGTTGGTATGCGCCTGTGTTTGCCTTCACTGCTGCTGGCGTTTCGAACATCAAAGGGCCTAACTGCCTGGGAGCTAAAGTGCAAACCCATCGCCAAACAGCGAGCAGGAGTGAGCGCGGGGGAGGGGGGAAGGGGGGCTCCTTACACTATTGCAGACCTTTAATTTTCTTACTGCAGCGGAGTGAAACAACAACAACAACAACAGCTTTGGGCCTGCTGCTGCTCGCAGCGCATGCGCGCCGAGCTCCCATTCAGCGAGGAGGTAAAACAGACTGACGGGGGCCCCGGCTTCGGCTGCTCTGCACGGGGCTCGACTGCTTACTATACACCGACAGCAGCAGGCAGGCGAAGGTGGAGTAAAACAGCAACACTGCTGCCGCAGCCCAAATGTCGTAATTGTAGCCCTCCAATGATCAGCCGCAATCACTCGGGGCGAACAGGTCCCTCTCAATGGAGGATCGTGACGGGGAGCTCACCGCGGCCACTATAGAGCGCCTCGGAGCAGCGCCGCGCAGAGGTGGTGGAGCCGGCAACGTCCCGTCCCGCGTCAACGAGGCCGTTTACAATGTTGATGGCTCATGCTTCAGCCCGGACGCGTCCGCAGTGACCCGCTGAAAAATTAACTGCAAAACAAGGAGCCGCGGTGGTATGATTTGTAAAAGTGACGATGGGCGCCTGCTCAGAGCTAAGCACCGGGCTCCGGCAGCGGTACGGGCGGTACTACACACGGTCGATTGGCCACGATCAGAGAGGGGACTCGTGCCCGCGCAGAGTGTGAAAAATGCAATGCCCGAATCGAATGTCGCTCGCACGCCTCCGCCTGCTTCAGCCGCGCCTACCGTTGAGGCGCCCACCGAGCCGTGTAAGCGGGCGCAGCTCCCCGCCGGCCCGAGGAGGGGGAATTCCCACGGAGCTGAATAAGCAAACTCCGTTTATGGACCCGCTGCTTGTGTGCAACGCGCGAGTATGGGGCCGACCGAAACTTATGGATCGTTTACTACACACTCGGAGCAGTCTTTTGGAATCCCAAAGATGGGCAAACGCACGGAAAAACTAACGTCACAACTAAATATTAGTTAATTTCGTGACAATCGATCAAAAAATTGTTGAGGTAACTCATGATTTGTTGTCAGGACCAAGATTAAGTTGCCAGAGCCAAGAGTTGGTCGCTAAAACCAAGCACGTTTGCTGCAGGAGCCAATTCGTGGTTTGTTTTTAGAACGAATGCGTTAGCTCAAGCACCGAACAGCTTGTTCTGACAACTTAATCTTGGTTCTGAAAACAAATTGTTAGTTACCTCAACAATTTTTTGATCGATTGTCCCGAAATTAACTAATATTTAGTTCTGACGACCAATTCATTTTTTTCCGTGCGAGACCAATATTATTGAGCGATCGGCGTGATGTGTTTACCTTACTGTGATACACAAACCGGATGGATTGCGGATTGCACACGCACAAGTGATGGTCGAGTGCGTGGCGCCGGCCCAATGCCAAGGCCGCGTCAGCCGAACAGGCCGCGGGGCCCGGCCGGGCAGCCGCCAATGAGAGCGCACAACGCGGATTACACTCTGGACCACAATCTCGTTACGGGCGACCCACTTCTCACGACAATGCGCGGCAGGTGAGAGGAAGGGGTGTGTGTGTGCGTGTGTGTGTGTGTGTGTGTGTGTGCGCGTTACGAGGGGGGGGGGGAGGTAATGAACGTACACAACACTAGCGCCTGCTCGCGATAATCTGAGACACATACGATACGGTACGATCATTCATGAGAATTATCCCCAATAATTGATGGTTGTTGGTTCGAATACATACAAATTTTCCACAGTTGTGCCATATGCGTGAGCAGTGTGTCCAAGAGTAACGCCAGCTCTCGCAGTGTGTCTAATAGGAGTATAACGCTAGCGCGCGGGCGCGGGCTAACGCTAACGCACGACACGACGCGGTGCAAAGGTGTCAATGGGATGTGATTGGGTCATGTCGATTCGGCACGCAATGTATGGATCTGGAGCAGCAGCGCGTTGCAGAGCGTGACACTCCGGGGCGGCTGCAGTGCGCGCGGGGCGGGGCGGGGCGAGGCGGGGGGCAATTGTCGAGTGTTCAAATACAAACGCCGCGCGCCGCACCTCCCGCGAGGGACAGGGCTGCGGGTCCACTCCTCGAGTCCAGGGAGACAAGCCGCGGGCCGCTGCTATCGCTATGGGGAAAGCGCAAACGCTTAGGCTCATTTGCGCCGGATTTACATAGGATCTGGTCCAAGTATCCTTTAGGAAAGCCTCCCTGCCTGATCTCACGGTACTAGCAGGTAGGGAAGGTAGCATTCTTCTGCTGCGCTTGCTGCCCTGCCCAGGTTGCGCCAGCAGCAGCAGCACGGGGTCTCACTGCAGAGAGCAGGGCGTGCCCTGATGTGATCAGGTGCCCATCAGGGTCAGATCTGGTCGGTATTTAGCAGCGCCGCTTGCCAACAACCGACTCACCTCGGGGCTGGCCTGGCCGGCCACATGTCCCAACACGGCAGGCCACATTACCGCGATACGGCCGCGATAGAATGCAGCAGGAGCAGAGCGGGCCCCGCCGGGGCTCCACAAGGCTCTACCGAAAAAAAGACGCGGCACACATGGAGGGAGAATGGTATTTGAAACGTTCGCGCTCGATAGCGACGACATTGGCTGCTGCAGCAGGCTGCTCCGGGGTCGT